GTTGCCCTCTATTAAATAACTTCGTCATAGACAATCCAAGTCTAAAAAAATGGCACATTACACATCGAACACATTTTTGTTTTGCTTTTAATGTATTGAATAATTGTGAAAATATTGTTTACAAGCTCAATTCAAGGGAGAGAAATCTATAATAGTAACCCATATCCAGGATTTAAAGCACCGTTCTTGCATATTAGCTTTTTTTTTGAATGGGAGTTGACTAGTTAGATTTGTTCATACAAATGGGACATGCATAGGCGTACGAGCCAGGGCGGCAGGGGGGCAGCTGCCCCCTAACTTTCGGGCAAGCTGACATTTCGGGCAGACGGGTAAAGTGAAGAAAAAAAAATTATTTCATCTACTTGGCAAAATAAAGTGGCCAAAATCTAATAAAACACTAATTTTACGGGCTGGAATAGCAGTAAAACGCGTTTACGACCGTCAAATATTCCAAAATTTTCTTTGGGGGGTCCATATAAGGTAAGCTCCGCTTCTTCGCCTCTCGAAGAAAACCAGCGCCGCTGTCTGTAAACCTGAAGTTTTTTCGGACATTTCTTGTTTTCCTTCTCTGTCATCGAGCCCTAATAAAACACTAATTTAATATTTATTTTAATTGAATACCACGAATTTGTACTGAGTTGGCTATGGATTAAAACATTTTTTCTGGAGCCACTCTACTTTGTGCGACATTTTTCGAGCATCGATTATTATTTGTGAATGCAGCTGCAACAGTCTGATTGGATGGTTGGAATTCAGAATGGGATTTCGGTTACAAAAACATTGGATACTTTTGGAGTTGCTTACACGGGTTACACGTGCTAGAATAGCAGAAAACGCATTTGCGGTGGTTAAATTTTCAAAGATTTCTCCGGGAGGGTGAGACACCCATACCCCGCGACGATTGATTGCTTGTTTGGAATTCGGGTCAGCCAGACAGGCTATATTGGACCAAATTGAAGTTGGTGTATTCACAGGCTGGAATAGCCGGAAAACGCGTTTGTGGCAGTTAAATTTTCAAAATTTTCTCCCAACGGTCCCGTCTCCGTGGACTGTAAAAAACGATTGATCTTTTAATTGAAATTCGAGCCAGCCATCTTAATTAGCTTATATTAGACCACTTTGAAGTTGCATTGTTCACGGGCTGAAATAGCAGGAAAACGTGTTTGCAGCCGTCAAATATTCCAAAAATTTTTGGGGGGGGTTTCTGTAAACCCGAAATTTTTTCCGGCATTTCGGGTTCCTCCCCCCCCCCCTAACTGTCATCGAGCCCGTACGCCTATGGGGACATGGATGCTCTAAACTATCGTATCGTTATAAATAGCATTATTCTGAAGTAGAATTGCAAGGTATAGTCTATAGATTCTTATTACTAATTTCATTTAAAACAAGAATAAACATGTTTATTACATTTTTACTATTAAGCACTATCGCACGCAAATTAATCATTATCCACTCGCTGTATGTCGGTGTCTAGTGCAGTTTTCTTTTTCATAAGGGATGTGGCGTTTCTTCTGGAAATACATTCAAACAGGCGCAGGGTCATTGAAATATTTGAATTGTCTGTGATTCTTATTACTATTATATTTGCCAAACAATCAAAAGTAGTAAAGGTCAATAAAATTCCAGCATAACCTGCCTCGTTCACGAAACCTGTCAATATAAGATACTATGTGTAAAATGTATGGATAACTATTCCTTAGGTTTGAGGGGTGTTGAGCGGCCAAATGGATTAACGGGTGCGCTTTAGATCATTGGGTCAACCCCGTGAGTTTTCTCCGGGACCTCCGGTTTCTTTCCATTTCCATCGCAAGCGAATTATTGATATTAAATTGAACCATATGTTAGAAACAAAATGACCTAGTTTGTGTCGAGTGGACGTTAACGCTCTCTCTCTCTCTCTCTCTCTCTCTCTCTCTCTCTGAAGGTTGACTGTGACGATAAACCAGATATAAATAGAATCAATACAATTTTATTTCTTTTAGCAACAATTTGTAACATATATATTTGTATTGAAGATGAAGAATAGATGATTACTTGTGACAATATAAACTAGAGATTCATTTTAATATTTAATGTAATTATATAAATAACTTTAAATTTATTACAACCGGTATCAGTAACAAAAATATAAGACATAACCATTTGGAATTATATAGAATGATGCAAAAGGGAATGTAAATAAATTTTCAAGATGAATGCGATAAACAATACACGTTGGTTGGTCAACATATCTTATATTTACAATTAAAATGAAATTTAAATATATATAATATTTCGGACAAATTTAATTGAATAAAAATGTATCTGTTAAAACAATGGCCAAAATGTCCAGCCAGAAAAAGAATTGGCTAAATATCTGAGAACACTGATTAAAAGATGTGTAATTGTGAACTTTAAAATATTCTAAGTTTGTATAAAGCAAGAAGGAATGCGAACGCATTTACTAAAATTTGTTAGCTACACCAACTTCTCAAATGAGACGATGTACTTGGGTTTTCTAGTACGAGGCAGATCTGAAATGGTATTAGTTATTCAGCTAAGTCAACTCCTATGATGAGAGATACTTCTAGTAAGGAAAAGATCTAGAGTGCTGGGCTACTTTTGTTTCCTTCTTGTTTCCTACAAACGTAATTCAAAGGTGTGATTGTCGTGTGGAAAGACTTCACCTCCTGACAATTATTTTATACGAAAAAAGCAAAATGGGAAACCATCCTAAGGCCTGGACACACCAAAGATTATTTTGCTAGTAGCCTGCAAATAATGATATTTGTTCGCCACAAAATACATGCCGATGGATGTCGGTAGTGAATTACCGACTCTATGTAATGTAATGTAATGTACTGACTTGGCCGAGAGGTCGTTAGTGTTAAGATGGTTATTTCCGAACACGTACTTTGAAATCGGTAAGATGAGAACTAAGTTTTTTGAGCGACTGATTGTTGGGGATGTCTCTTTGGTGTGTACAGGCCCTTATACATGTATTTCAAGAAATGCTTATGTGTGATTTAATTTCTACTTTTTTACAGAATAGAAGGCACGTGATAAAAGTTTGGTTGTATTCAAAATAAATAGAGTTAACTACAAACTATTCAAGTGACCCCCACCACCCACTCTTAATGCAACTCCGTTAGGTGAGATTCTATGCGTAATTTAGAATTACTTAAATATAAATTAATAAGTGAACAATTAACAAATAAAAAAGTTAATAACTAGTATACGATTCTAATTATCATAATATCCTTAATATCGGCACTTATTAAAATCAGTTAATGCATATTCCTTATTATCAAGGGTTGTACATTATCGTGACTTCAATATTATAAGTTTAACAATGTTCAATCATTGGTGATCATCCCGATCGAAAAGGATTATATACATTATAGTCCCGAGGGTTGTTATCTCATTAATCCAATAACTAAGTATTATTCACCAAACTAACTGCGATGTATAAGAAACCAAAAACATCATACCCATTGTGAAAAAGAAATTTATTTCAACACATCAGCAAGTCGGTCATGTTTTATTTTACCCCAACAAGGCACCCTCTATGCGTCTAGTCTGAAATTTATAATCAGCACCATTTCTACAATTCATTCTAGTTGGATCGTTTTTCTAATTGACAGAAAAGCGGTATATATGCGCGTGGGGTGGGGGTGGGGGTTACGACGAGTTAATAAATTGCAAACTTTACTTTAATTTGACAAAAACTCAGCTCAACAATAATGATATAAGCATAACGATAAATATATAACACTATGATATGCGCTTGGCTTGGCTTGAGAAGGGTGTTGGGTTGTTACTTGACAGACACTTATGTATTTCTTTAATGCAGTTAATTTGTAAAGCTAAAACAAGAAACCATTGATGACAATCCTGGTAAAATTATTGTATACATGTATTGCAGGAATTGATAATAATCCCCACATGACATGCTGGTGCACATGAATGAAAAATAAAATGGAAAAAAAATGCGGCCAAATTATGATTGCAATCGAAATGCTAACCCTATCAATCTGGATATCTTTTCATATAAATAACCATTTTAATCCACTCCATACACGATTTCAAATCGAATACAACCGTCCCACCCCTCAAACGACTACTCCAACAAAATCAGTCTACATGTACTTCAAATAAGCACAAAACTAAAAACCGATAGCGTTCCTGATTATGAACAAAATATTGGACCGTCACATTCATGGTTGAGAAGTAGCTTCGAATTGTAAGAACCAGTTATTATTAAACATACATTATGCAAGAGCTAAATCTGCCTATTGCAGGTCTTTCATTAGGCCTGAAATGTTATCTAAATTATTAATTAGACATCAGTTAACTTATCCAGGCCGTAATCTACTCGCTGCGATGTTTATTGGATTACGTTCCGATTTGCTGTTCAACTCCATTCATAATTAAATAAAAAAAGTAGAGAATCGAGGCTATGTTTTTTATCCTACCGATTTTAGTAATGACGATCGAGGCTAGCCCCAATATTCAATCGCTAAAATCTCGGTTCATAGTGGATCAATTTGACTGAAATTTACAGCAAATTGCCTTTACATTATTTAGTTTTTAACTATAACAATGAGAATTGCCAGCTCTTTATCTAATCTCCCATAATGTATCTTTAATTAATAATAAAAATCAACCACCATAACCATATAATTAATTATGTTATCACAATGGAATAGTCTATAAATTTCAACAAACAAAAAAGAAATATTAAAAATATCTTCTAAAAGATTATGGTGTATAACATCATAATATCAATCTGACAGTAATGGGAACACTTGAAATTGAAACAAGCCGCTCGGCACGCATTTGGCCCACCATTGGTATTAAACATCCCAAGTGTTCCGATTGCACTAAAATGATTTGAATTTTGATAAGGTAAGACACTAAACACTGTATACGTTAGAAATAGACGTGTCTTTTTCTTTACCATTAGATTGCAACAAACATTTTCTACTTTCGCTTTCATCATCGAATCTTAATTTATTGTGACTGTCGATCATGTCATCATCACTAAGTAGTTCCTCGCAAGCAGTATCAATGTTGTTTAGGTCTGGTTTTACAACAGTAATGCTACCATAATCGTCTTCATATAGATGCCATGGATTCTTCATTTCTATAGAACCTACAATATATTTAAAGATTTATTTTCTCGACAGACAAGATTCTAATATATAGTTGTTGCTAATCAAATCAACATTGATGTTGTGATCTTATCGGGATAAGGTAGGCCTCTGATATCCAATATTTAAGACAAAATAAACATTTTACCATTGGTACACGAATCGTGTTTTATAGTGGGTTTCAGCGTCACTTGTAACAAGTGACCAGAAAGAACGAGTCTAGACATATTCCACAACTCCTGTCAAACGGTAACGCCATATCTTATCTGGCGAGCATGCGCAATAGACTGGAATAACCAGACGCTAGAAATTGAAATTCGGTTGAGACTCATGCCGTATTTCGCCGGGCATAACTGATTTGAAATTAGAGTCAAAACGGAAACAATTGAATGTAAATCAGTTTATATACATTCATATTACATTATTATATGCGTTGTGACCCATTTGTGTCAATTTCTAGGTCCTAAATATTACCGATTTAGTTCCTTTAAATAATACAAATATTAACCATGTTTTTAATGTAATGCCACCATAACACTTATACCCCATTGACACTTTCACGCATTTTGAATCCGCAATGGTAATCATTAATGCGTACCAATGCGGATGGATATCATGTATATTTCACCTGTCAATCAAGTAGTTCGTGCCGTTGCTGACCAACCTTTGCTCATAGTATGCAAAGTCTGTCGGCACTGGTGCGCATTCGTACCATGTTAGTTGTCTCTCATGCATCCCGCATCGTCCATCATTGTCCCGTTACAATACGCAATATCTGCGGATAGTTTGCGCACAGTTTGCGCAGGTGACCGCGCACTTGCGCTATGGTACGCCAGTTCCTACACTGTCAGGTATTGGTTACGCCAGTGTACTCAGTTTTAAGCATGCGTGACCATTTTGTGAGTCATTTTGTGGCACGCACTGGCACGCTTCATAGAAATAGTATATATAAAGGAAAGGTATTGGGATATGGTCCATTCCGTCGGCAACTCTTCAAAATGATGAACTCCAGAACGTCTACCTGCAGCAAGAAAAGAAAAGTCAGGAGACTCTGGGTGAGGCAATAGTTGACAAGGAGACAACATTTTGGCCATTATGACCAGTTATTGTCGGAACTACACAAGGAAGATCGCAGAGGTTACCGGAACTTCCTACGTATCACCCCCGAACTGATTCAAGAGATGATTGAAAAGTTGACCCCACACCTGAAGAAGAATAAAACATTTATGAGAGAACCTCTTGAAGTTGGCCTGAAGTTAGCAATCACACTCCGCTTCTTAGCCAGTGGCGATTCCTATGCAAGTCTCCAATACAATTTCAGAGTTGAACTTAGCACTATATGCAAGTTTCTACCAGAAGTATGTAAAGCTATCGTCAAGGTCTACAAGCCAGAAGTATTAGTTTGTCCTAGAACAGAAGACCAGTGGAAGACTATTGCTGAAAGTTTTAGTAGCAGATGGAATTACCACAACTGTCTTGGAGCCGTTGACGGCAAGCATGTTGCTATGAAGAAAACCCCCTCGGGTGGATCCTTCTACTTTAACTACAATAACTTTCATAGCATCGTGCTCCTTGCAGTGGTGGATGCTGGGTACCAATTTCTGTACCTTGATGTTGGAGCGGAAGGTGGAGCTTCTGATGGTGGAACATGGAGCAACTGTACGTTACATGAAGCTGTTGAGAACAAGAGAGCCAGACTGCCTCCACCCGCTTCCCTACCCAATGATGACAGGCCTGTCCCCTACCACTTTGTTGCCGACGACGCCTTTGCACTGAAAACATGGCTCATGAAACCCTACTCACACCGTTCATTGGATCAAAGGGAGCTCATTTTTATACAAAACGTTGTGAAAACGTGGAGGCCTCTGATTGGTGCGGCGTCTGTGAGTGAAGCAAACCTGCCAATGAGTATATGGGAGTAAACTATGAGCACCAGTGAGTAAATTATGAGCACCAGTGAGTAAATTATGAGCACCAGTGAGTAAATTATGAGCACCAGTGAGTACACTGTGAGCACCAATGAGTGACACACGTCAAGTGGCGGGAAGAATTCCTGACCACTGGCAGATACCTACATCAACCCATGAGCACCATTGCTGATCTTGCTGTACCGGTGATGAACCTTGCGCACCAATGCGTGACATTGAGTACCCCTCAGTGCGTGACAGTGCGTGACATAATTTCCATTGACACTTTTACGCACCGGGTACGCATAGTTTACGAAAATGGTACGCCCTGGTACGCCCTGGAGTGCGTGGCATGAGCTTGGACAAATCCAAGGTTTTGGGTCGGCACTGTCACGCATGGTACGCAATGGTACGCAAAGGTAAGTATAGTTTACGACTGTTTCCCGCGATGGTCCGCATAGTTTCCGTCTTGGTACGAACTTTAGCGTACCAAAGCGTACCACGATTGCGTGAAAGTGTCAATGGGGCATTATACGATTTTTTGTTCCCGCTCGACGGTGCTTATCAATGCGTGTCAGTGGTGACACGCAAAGCCACGCATTGGCACGAACATTGATCCATGTCTGGACAATGCTAGGCGATCCACAAAGACAGCACGAAATATGCGTGTTGTGTGTGACACTGCAGAACATTGCGGCACAATGCGTTACGGCAGACATTAACAATAGAGACTTTTGGCAAGCTAAATTCCTGGTCCGTATCGCGTGTCCGTATCGATTTGTCGTGTTACGTCATTAATTTATGTGTACATGTAGTTCGCATACGTTACGCCCCATACGTACACGGCAGAACGTATCAAACACCTTTCACACCGTCGTCTTATTACCGTATTTGCGATTTTATGAATCTATGTGTATCCTAGATCACGAAATATGATGTGGGTTTAAACGTGATAAAGACAGTAATTTAATCACCGAAAAAGTGTGCCCCAATGGTGAAAATCGGTACTCATACGTACGCGGCGCGAAAATCTGTCAAAGCTGTAAAACTACATTGACGCAACGTATCACGTCAAGATACGGATACGTGATATGGGTGGGACAAATTCTGCTTGCCAAAAGCCTCTACTGCGCGAATAATAGTTAACCTATGCGTAAACAAGTAGTGGCATTATGTCTCAATGCTTACCAATGCAGCTCATTTTTAGTCGCGTACCTTATACAGGGCGCACACACGGCTTCACGCGTACCACCGAAATGGCACTCCTAGCGTGACGCATTGCGCGGCATTGCGGTGACAAAAATCGTGCAGGTGTCAGGGTGGCATATGACTTAATGCTAGGTTCCCACTGTCGTGCCATGCGTTACGAACGCGACGATTGGCACTGGCAATTGCACGATTTTCTTTGATACTGATACTGATGATTTAGTAGTACATTAAGACTTACCACTTACAGTAGTTTTATCTTGTAGATATTCACAATCCCCTTGTAATTCTAGATATCCCTAAAATATATATAAACATACATATATAGCCTAAACAGCTAGCATCCAACATTATTTCAATGATACATATATAGCAATATATCTACTTCTATGTTATAATACTACCAGTGTAACATTCTGTCTATGACATGTATCATTCTATCTATGTTATAATATTGTTCTTACCAGTATGTCTGTACATAATACATACTCTATAATACATGTACTGTCCAAAATATTACGTCACATAAATGTTTTACCACTTTATTGTCTTTCATTCTGCTATGTCATATAAATATCCTTACCACCCTACCATTAAATATTTTGTCTATGACACGTTATATAAATGCTTTTACCACTCTAAACTGTTACATTATGTCTACGATATACGTTATCTACCATATAACATTTTGTCTTTAATATGTTATTTAAATAGCAACAACCCGTCTATTTGATAAACGTTATATAAGTCACTTTAACACTTTTACCATGTACCAATTGCTAAGTTACATAAACGCTCTTACCACTCTGAACTGTAACATTCTGTCTAAAATATATGATAACGCTGCAAAGCTAGGTCTGTCTTCTGGTTTTGCTTTCCAGCATTTCTGCATAATGGCATACCTGGTTTTAAAAAAAGTAAGTTATAATAAGTTAATGTGTGATATATGCCAAATGTTTAATATTTTATACAGAATATGACTAATATACCTCATTTTTCATTCAAAACTCTTAAACCCAAAAGATATTATTATACATTACAATGAAAAATGAAATGGAGTTTAACGTCCTACAGTGTGTTGGGCACTGCGGGATACTCTTATTTCGGATTCCAACTGTCAAGGGTTCTTTTACGTGAACACCAATGTGTACACGGGACCTCTGTTTTTCGTCCTACCTGAATGACTATAACATTTCGGTACCAAAAAAGGAAAACAGTTTTCTTATCGATCATTTTATAGATTAGCAGGGAAAATGGCAACATTATATAGGCCGTGGTTTATATTATAGTTCTAAGATACCGCCGCCATTGCTCGATATAATCCGAACCTCTATAGATAATATCCATATAACATGATTAGAGTATTCATCAAAACTGAAAATGTCCGAATTGTGACAGAAAAAAAAACGAATTAATCACTTGAAAGCTATGTAGTGTTTGCTTTTTGTAACGCTGAGATCCATTTCCTTTTGATGGCTGGTAATTCATGTTGTCAACAACATAGTCACGTTCACATATCCTGTTACCAATAACAACCACTTTATCAATAATGGTCACAGAATAGACCAAAGTAGGTAACATATAACTAGTTTGGGTTGGACTTTAAAGGAGCTATTCTCTGTCCTTTGGCACCTAGAAATGGACACAAATGGGTCGCATATGAATGCATATAAACTGATTTATAATCAATCTTTTCTGTTTTTACTGTAATTTCTAATCATCTATGTTCGGGGAAATACGCGAAGAGTCCAAATTAAACGGCAGTCTTTGGCGTCTGGTTATTCCAGCCTACATCGGTAGTATTTTCCTGTGGGATCTGTTTAGCCTCGTTCATCGAGTCGAAAGCACGCTCGCATGCGATTCGTGTGCTAATTTTAAAATTTTCATTTTGTCTTAAATATTGGATATCAGAAGCCCAACTTTTTCACGGCAAGATAACAATATCGATGTTGATTTAAATTGACCAATACGTCGTGTTTGCAATGTCCAAGACTGCGCGGATGATATTGAGTTAGAAACTTGCCTCCTTTAAGTAATGTAGATCGTGGCCCTATAAGTCGATGCTTGTACGACAACCATTGGTTATCAACCCGATGTTCGTCCTTTGCACGAAAAACACTTCACTGACGCAGGAGACGGATTTCCGAACATCGTGGCTTCCTCCCATTCGTCTTCCAATTCCAATTGCCAAGGGTTCTTGTACGTACAGACACGGGCGAACCTCAATTTTCCGTCTCACTCGGACGAGTCAGCACACTTCCCTTATCTTCCCCGCATCTGCCAACCCTAACATGTTTAACCTGGATTGAAATGTCAGTAGACACCACTGAAACGTTTAATAGCTACCACCGCCTTACCCGTGACAAGCCGAAGACACGAACATCCAAAGTGCTTGAGGAGGAGAGGTGGGGGGGGGCGGTCAGTGAAGAACGAGCCGAGAAGAATATTCATAATTTTTCAATAAGCCCAGTTCCAACTTGTCAGGGGTGGTGACTGCACGGCTTTTCAAGAGAGTTTATCTAGTCGTTAGGATGGTACGAAAAACATTTGCAGTATATATACGTAAATGATTCCTTGGCAGTTCGAATTGGAATTAGAGTAGGCGGGTAAAATTGTCTATGTTGCACACGTAGCCATAGAAACAAAATGTCCCGCATATAGCAAACCGTTTTTATTAGCCCCGGTGGTGCGGAATGTAAAACGTTAAACCTCAATTCAGTCATAATTATTTTACATATAGGCTACTTACAGTTCATCTGGACAGTCATCGGGTCTATCCATTCTATAACCCGTCTTTAATAAATTAAACAATCGTTCTGGTGGAATACCAGGATATGGATTGGCACCTGATAATTATACATATATATTATTGTCAATCCATCATTCCTCATTTAATGTCTTTAATATTATACTAGCAGGATACCCGGCTTCGCTCGGGGATCAACTCCGAAACTGGAAGTGGTAGACTAACGCCACCTGGCCTATGTTACTCCCCGGTCCGAGCTACCCCTATACCCCAAATTTCAGACTCGGGGCAGACCTAGTGTAGCCGCCAACCCCAAACAGACCGGCTTCGCTCGGGGGTCATAACTTCGAAACCGGAAGTGGTAGACTAACGCCACCTGGCCTATGTTACTCCCCGGTCCGAGCTACCCCTATACCCCAAATTTCAGACTCAGGGCAGACCTAGTGTAGCCGCCAACCCCGACTTCGCTCGGGGGTCATAACTCCGAAACCGGAAGTGGTAGACTAACGCCACCTGGCCTATATTACTCCCCGGTCCGAGCTACCCCTATACCCCAAATTTCAGACTCGGGGCAGACATAGTGTAGCCGCCAACCCCGACTTCGCTCGGGGGTCATAACTCCGAAACCGGAAGTGGTAGACTAACGCCACCTGACCTATGTTACTCCCCGGTCCGAGCTACCCATATACCCCAAATTTCAGACTCGGGGCAGACATAGTGTAGCCGCCAACCCCGAACAGACCGGCTTCGCTCGGGGGTCATAACTCCGAAACCGGAATTGGTAGACTAACGCCACCCGGCCTATGTTACTCCCCGGTCCGAGCTTCCCCTATACCCCAAATTTCAGACTCGGGGCAGACCTAGTGTAGCCGACAACCCCGAACAGACAGACAGACAGACAAACGACAGTCACAAATATATATATAGATTAAAATAATCTGTCAGGAAATGAAACATACAGTGATGATTCTCAGCTCTGGACTTAAGAGTATAAATAAGTTAAACCTCGATGATTTAGGCCAAAATAAAGTGTTGAATTGAGTTGATCTATACCATAAATACATCGAAATAAAAAATATTAAGCGCAAGTCAGTCGGTTTATCAGCTATAATTACGTTTTCTAATAAAACTGTCGACGGGTTATTAAAACAACTTCAGTTCTGTGTGTGGATATATTTTTTTGTAAGCAAAGTGATATCAATTTCAAAAAGCAAATGAATACATCAAATTTAATTAAATCAACACTTTCATAGTTTACCAGAAACAAAGCGGTCTTATCATTTAAGGTTGCATTTGGCGATGGTCTTTTGTTGCTGTTTTAGATTTCCGAGGTGTCCCTACTAGTAATGTTCAGGTTTTCGAAACTTAAAGTGGGCTCACTATTAATGTTTTAGACTTCCCAACAAATGCATTAAAATGTATTCTTACAAGTTATGTTTTGAATTTCCAAACTTATGGAAATGTTTCAAATTTCCAAACTTATGGAAATGTTTCAAATTTCCAAACGAATGTTTTAGATTTTCTATTTAGTGATTAGGTTGTTCCTACTAGTAATGTTTTAGATTTCCTATACATGTGATGTATTAGGAGTTTATAGTCCTGTTTCATCTACTTTTATATTAAATAGCTATAGATTTACCATTTTACAAAAATTGTTTTGGGGTTTTGTCCTTTAATATTTAAAAGATATTAAAATAAACTCACCTAAGGTAACTATTTCCCACAACACAACACCAAATGACCAGCTGAAATTAAATATGAAAAATAAATAAAATAATAGAAAACAGACTTTAACCGATTTATATCTCTAACTTTTTAAATCAACTGAACCGATTCCAACAGAATTCAATCTAAATTTAAATACCACTGGATATATAGACGATGCTTACAGTTATCGGAGGATTAAGTAATCATTTTATATACGAGCGTATGACATGAGAAAAGATATAATCGCAATAATGAAAGAGATATTTTGTGAAGCATTGTTAGCCTATTATTAAACATCAATAAGCCCGACAGTAATGATGTTGTACATTAATAGCTTATTTCTAAACAACCAATGCTATCCTGGCGTCCTTCAAGGCAATCCTATTCCAATTAATATTCGACTTTAATCAAAACCAGTAGTAAACTATATTATATATAGTAAACTAAACTTTTATGATTATAGACAGTACAAATAACCAAGAATAGAAGATTCATAAATACATATATATGGTTATTATATATTTATATATATATGTATTTATGAATCTTCAATTATTGGTTATTTGTACTGTCTATAATCATAAAAACTCAAATTATTAAATTGGTACACAAGCTACTAGTAGGAATGCCGTTACCAATAACCAATAAAGTTAAATTTTTGTCTTGGTAAAATGTACAGATATAACTTACATGTCTGATTTGGCAGTATAAATTTGCGCATATAGAGATTCTGGGGCCATCCACTTTACTGGAAGTCGTCCCTAAAATAATATATTACTTAAGATGATCAACAATAACCAAAACCTGATCAAAAGTATAATACTGCATTTATAGAATACTTTTACTGTACCACTGACCCCAAAAAGGCAGAGCAGCTGATTCTACTATACACCATGTGTAAGCTGACTTCAAGAGTTCTATCCAGGTTTCCTTTTGTCACTGGTGCAGGACAGTGGTCGGTCATTCGATGAGGCGAAAAACAAGTTTCTATATGTACCATTGGAAGCACGTTAAAGGTCGTAGCACAACTGTCCGGGAAAAATGAACCCTGTCTTGAAATTAGGAGGTGAGGGTCTAACCGTTAGATGGATTTTAAGTTCGATCAGGCGTAAAAAAAATCAACGAGTGGAAAATGTTGAAGTTATAAACACGTATTTTTCACTCACTTTTACACTAGGTTTGCTTCACATTTCCCAACGTATATGGGACTGAAGTTAATTTAAAACTGTCATGTGTATATCTAGTACAAAATACCATTAACACAGTTTTAAGAGCCACAAATAAGTTTTTTGTTTTTGCAAAGCTTCATTAGATTAACATTATGGATGTTAAAGGAGCTAAACCTCTAACTCAATAGTTTCCATAAAATTCGAAATTAAAAAAAAAAACACGAATTAAAACTCAGTATTGGCCCATTTCAATCAATATTCATATTGTTATCTTGATATGAAAATATCGGATAATAATATCCAATATTTAAGACATAATGAACATTTTAAAATCTGTACACGAGTCGTGTATTTGTAATGAAGAAAGAAAAACACATCCTATAAGACAATGCAGAAGTAATTAGTAATGGTTGATTCATTCACGACAAAATAATAACAAAATAACCTGTATTAGAACGGACTAAGCAAGCATATACGGCAGCCGTTCAATTTGGACTATTCACGTATTTTACCGAACATAATTGATTAGACATATATTACAATATCTAAATTATATACATATAAATTACATACAATCATATTACATTAATATATGCTTTTAGACCCATTTTTGTCTTTTTTAAGATTCCAAAGAGTAAAGCCATACACCCTTTAATGTCGTATGTTAATATTTGTTTTTGTCTATTTTATAATATAATGCTGGTTTTCTAACCTTGCTCATCTTAAGATATGTATCAGCTTCATATACATCACGACTCAAACCAAAATCAGATATCTTAAGCTGCTTGCCTGTAGTCATTAATATATTTCTTGCTGCCAAATCACGATGCACTAACTGTAAATTAGACAAGACTTTTAGATGAATTGGGAGTTAAAGCTGCTTGTATATCTGCTTCTGTATCTTGGCAAAAAAAGATAGACAATGGTGGCCGCTACCCGGATCTGGTGTTAAAATATTCTAGGTGCCCATGTTTAAGGGATATATTGAATTAAGGAATGGGTTAGTGACGTAATCAATACTAACAGATCTTTCAATCGTTTTTAATAAATAGGCATATTGGTTTATATTTGTGCGTGTTTCTACCATATTCAAATTTTTAGTTCCGATACCGCCATTGATCTCATAAATACAATCATTCATTTAATGTGGTGGGATGTCTAGAAAGTTTTCAAAAGTTGATTCTAGTAGCGGTCATATTTATCTATCTAGTGTTAGAATATAGAATTTGGGGTGGAGATCTTCTTTAAGTTACAATTTTCCAACCATTGAATGCTACGTTTATTTCTTATTATTTTTCTCGCCTTTTGTGATCTCTTGAAAATCAACTTTTCTTATGGATAAGAAGATCCCGTTTGTGTAAGTGTTACCGCTCTAATTTATTTTGTTGCGTAACTACCATAAACTTTTAAATTGTTATTCCGGCTCAAGCGCGGCAAAGTTCTCTGTTTTAAAATTATATTTGGAATGTGTTGGACCACTTCTGAAAGGGTAGTGTGAAGTTAAATCATGTTTCGTTATTATTTATTGGCGAATAACGAATAGCTAAACAGAACGTGTTTCGTTATTCGGGATTCAGATTTTGAATAACGAATAACGAGACAGAACTCGTTTCGTTATTCGGGATTAAAGTAAAGTTATCATTTTTGCTTAGAAATTTCATATCATTATTGTAACAATATCCAAAACTGCACTAAAAGATAATCAAAAATTCTATACATCAATGACAGCGCCAATATGTTCAATAATGTCTTTTGCTTTATATTACATATTAGATCATGTTTATGAAAACTATCGATCAATAATGTTCTATGATATGTTGAATTCTAACGACATACAATCACAGATTCTTAATAGTGCTAATTCAAATGTGAAGAAGGTTAGCTATCGAGACAGATAAATTGTTAGGTTATCAAAAGTTCTGCAGTAATCTTGACGACACCTGCGGCCTATGATTACTGGGGAATTTCAAAATATTTCGCTGGTGAATTGCGAACTGGTTTCTAGGAGATATTTTACCGTTTAGATTTTTTCCAATAAAGATTATGAATATGATGCATTGCAGACCCGCGCCCCACAACCCCTTGCTGTTCATCCCTCTGAATACAGTCCTACAAGCAAGGTTTAATCAATAAGGTCGGATGAGGACTACCTATTGTTCATATTTATTTTACTTTTGATTAGGATTCACCAAATCATGATGTCCGATTGAACATATTTCAGATAGGACGTTCGTCAACCCCTCAAGGACATGTGAACCTGACATATACATTCATTCGGTTAGACTGTTTCTAAACCAGTTTTAGTAACAATATATATGTATATATAAATATAGTGGGGTTTTTTATCGCAAAATAAGATGGCGTCGTTTTGGGACTAATAATTACCTTCATTTGTGAAAGATATTCCATCCCTCGTGTCGTCTGCCAGGCAAACGACAATAAATCACGTATTGTTAAGACGACACCAGTCTCGTTTTCATAAGAGCCGTCGTGTTGATTTTGTTTATCTTCCCAACTTCGTCTTCCTCTATATTTACATTTTCTTAGATAATTTTTCAAAGAACCAAACTCACAATATTCAACTATAACATAAAAAGGATCTGGAAAAAAATGATAAATGTTCAAATACACGAATTTGAGTTTTATCAAATTCTTGTGATATATTTTGCAAAAAACGTTATTAGGTACTTTCAATATTCAGCGTATTATGTGCAATAACATTTATCTTAAATATCATCCTTTCTCTCACCTGGAGCCAGTGTAGCTGTTCAAGCACAGAAGAAATATGTTCACATAATTTAGTTTCACTTACAATCAGAGCTGATATAATATTGATCTAAGTGTCGAAATCTATGTTTTAGCACTCACTGAATTCATCAGAAATACTTTCATTACCATATTAGCAAGTTTAGGTACCGAAAACACGTTATTAAATTTTTGGACCACTGCGATAGAAATTCTTTGAAATGTCAATTCCAACTATGCATTTTTACTTGTGACCCCTTTATATATTACTCCGAACTACCGGGAAATTGAAATCGAAAGTGAAATTTTGTGGGATCGGCTATCAGTCATAAATTCAGGAAACGGAACATTTCAGTGAAAATCTTCCATTTATTTAGGCTTTTTGTTTCCCACAACTTATTCGAGAAATACAAATCCAGGGGCATGCGCATACTTCCATCTGTGTATGTCTATCTATAGCCAATATTTCTTATAAAATAAGGAATTGGACTGAAACCGACAGGGAGAGGACATGAAGTCCACTTCTCCAGCCATTTCATTTCGGACACCAAGTTTGGTTTTTATGCTTTGCGGAGTATATGTGTCTCAGTTAGTTCGATACGCGAGATCTTGTTCCTTTCATTCCGATTGTTATGTAGATCGAGGCATTTGTCATCTAAGCTTCAACTACAGGGATACTTGCCCGCTAAACTTAAACAAAAAACCTTTAAAAAGTCTTATGGCCATCATGACTTGATTAGTAAACATGTCTCTCTCGGCTATTATTCTAGATATGTTTATACTGTTTTCCTGATTATGTCTGCGACATTTGTTACCACTGTTCATCATGTACATTTTGTATACGGAAAGTCCATTAGCTAATTAGGTTATTTTACTGAGATTTCGTCCAATGGTTTGGATGCAGCGGCCATGGCGGGTGGCAGGGTAAGCTTAATCTTCCGGACACCTGTTACCAATGTTCATCATGTATTTTGTACATGGTGAATAGTTGATTACACTATTTTTTTAGGACTTCAAATTTTGTCTAATGGTTTGGATTGTTCGTACTTGGTTTTATTTGATTGTATTATGTGTGCAAAATAACGAATAATGGACTTTCTGTGCAAACTCTTTACAATAGCAAAACATATTGAAAAGTGTTCACATTCATCGTTATTCCACAGTAATGGTAACAAGCATTTTCAGTTCATAAATCAAATATCTGAAAGACTAGTCGATACATCTCCTGGTGTATTTCTATATTAAACCTATAAAAGATATGCATGACTGAAACGGGCACCGATTAATTTCATTTCAAGTCTACTATTAACAGAGAAATTGCGAATTAAAATGTTAAAGTTAATATCAAGCTTTAACACGTTTGTTTTCGTGTTTAATCTATATCTAAATCAATGTGGGCACCAGGCTTAGGGAAGTTAACTAATCATTAACACCATTTTATAGTTCAGAGTAGCAATGGCTCAGAAGCTCATCCTCCTGGTATTTCATCCTCCTAACCTCTGAATATGAGATTAAGATACCACCTTATTGTAAATATGCGAAGAATATTAAGCTATTTAACCTTTTTTAGTACATGCACCAAGTAGTCGAATAACATTAGGATGATCTACTTCCTTCAATAAATTCAATTCCGACATAAGATCTCGATATTCACTTTCTGAAGCATCAGCTAAAATGAAAAGAAAAAATAAGAAGAAAAGTCTCAATTATTTTTCCAAGATTATATTTATTACATGGTACATGGTAGTACACTGTAGGGCACATAACGGGTACTTGGGTGTCATGAAGTATATCAAAGGGTTTTGAATGGAAAGGGAATATTATAGATGCGGGTTATTTTCACGAATATGTAGAAATTGTCATACATTTGCATATGCAATTAGAACTGGGAGCGGCAAGTGGCTCGCCTTCTCGAATTCCCTTACTTACAATCTACAAGTTTTTCGTTCCAACCAATCGACCTGAACATATATTGCTTATCTTGAAGATTAAATGACGGTTCTGACCCCAGCATTTATGGAAAACGTACTTTTGTGAGCATTGTGATTTTTATATCCATGTTTCCTGACTGATAAAGGATGAATTCGTCTTTTAATTTTATACGAATAAATAAATTGAAATCACTTTGAAAATACCATTTTAATAAATGCATGGTATGCTTACGTTTTAGCATTTTGACAGCGACAGTCGTATACACATCTTCTACATCTAGACCATATGCCCTTCCCCTAACTACCTGACCAAATTCACCTTCTCCTAGATTATCCTCTAATATAAGATTATCACGTGGAAATTCCCAATTAACGTCAATCTGCAATGAAATATAGTTCTTTGAAACACCTGAACATGTGACAACATAGCGAAATATTTCTTTTGCATCGCCAATGGCGTACATATGGGTGTCGGTGTTTGGGGCATCTTTAGAGGTATTAGGCTGTAGTGTTTTACACAATCACCAATTAGATTGCAGTATGCCAATAAAATACAGTATACACAAAAGACAACCATGTTCGAAGTTGTTTTCAACCAACCGGATTGCACCAATTTTATCAAATATGTGCAGTTATGAGGAATACCAATCAAAATATTGCGTTTGAAGTAAGGTTATTGCGTTTCATAGATATAGAATCGACAGAAAAAATGGCTCTAAATTATGCACGGATGGCGTTGAATAGGTGTGTTAATTCGATTTGATAGGACAAGACGTGCGATTGATTTCTGTGTATAGTTTTCAGGTGCCAATTCATATCCTGGTATTTCACCAGACCTATTGTTTAATTTATTCATCGTAAGAGTTTTAATATTTTCATCTTGTTTCAATTAATATAATTGAGAATGAGTATGTTCGAGTTTAAGACGAGATCCTTTGAATTTCAATACACCATAACCTATTTTGTCATGTGATATACACAATCTGATTAAAACACAGATTCAATTTCGTTTCGTTTTTATAGTTCAAAATTTCGATTTTACTTGTCTTTACTACACTTGGATCTGGAAGCGTTGTTATTTAACTCATGTTCTGCTTGAAATGACGGGTCAGCCAATCAAATGGTCTGTCGAATCGAGCGTTTGACCCTTTTGCGCGGAACTGTGGGTAGACATTAGAAATCAAAACAAAGCAAAAGTAGATAAAAAAATACATGGCGGTCGCTAATTGGTTAATCGAATAACTGACGTAATCGGGTCAAATGTTGCTTGCTTGGTACCTGACGTCATAGAACGTGAACTCCTACTATAACTTGTTAGATCTACATGTAGTGCAGGCCATCGAAAGTATAATAAACGAAACGAAATATAGATCTATATTTTAATTAGATTGGTTATATACACAGCGTATGCACAATCAATTTCTCAAGAATTTCATTCAAATTCATGTTCTCCTTGCTCAAGCTATTTAAACGAATATGTGTAACTGGGCATTATTTTTGCCTCGGCCATGTACTACCTACCGATGGAAATTGATGTAGGTAACCCGGACCTTCCCCTAATATTGGGAGCCGCGCACGATGGTTCAGGGCCAGTCTTCGGGGGGACATTCCCAGAAGCTTTCTAACCATATGTACCACTGAACGTTCACTGGACCAACCCCGATGCCTAATAAGTCCCATCAGATGCTTTGTGGCCATATCCGAAGCACCCGTGAACGTTCACCGGACTATTCTCATGGAACTATTCAGTTAGATTTTCCCCAGTGGGACATAGTCATAGCTAAATATTTTAAAAAAAACTTCGTCGGATCTATTAAGAAACTATTTGCCAACGCTAACTTTGAAACTTAACCCATGCTGGCTGCAGTATGTAATACCGTTAATTTCAATATTGTCAAAATCATCTTCAGAACCAGATAAAATGGTAATCGAATAATTTCATTATAAAAGGTTTGGAGAGCTGCGTCTAATGAAACGACTATTAGAAGCCATGGTCGTGAACTAATTTCCTTTGGGAAAAAAGAAGCAGAGCGAATATAGGTTATCCATAATTAAAATAACACCCGCCATGATTTTCGAATGTAGGGTATTTTAAAGGGACTCTGTCATGCACGCATAGTGAAATAAAACATTTCCTGTAAAATTCAACTTATCATAACGCGGAAAACACAAAGATGCTTTTACTCCTTCATTGGCAATGGCACGATTTGAGAAAAATAAAATGATATATTTCTAATTGAAAATAAACTTGTTATTGCTTGTGTATTTAGTTGCAATAAAGTTGCCATCACTTCCCACATCAAGAAAATAAGTGTGCATTTAATCTTGTAAAATATATTCAAAATAACCATATTCATTCGTCATTATTTGGCAGGGGTGTCTTAAAACATTAGACTTAAATTTGAACATAATTTTAGGTGGGTTATTTCTAGTCTGGGTATGCGATGGTGTAGAGGAATGGAGGTATTCTCGGTTGTTATAATAGCGTATGCAAAATACTAATTCAACCCAAACTGTGGGATTTGATTCAAATGTTACCCCAAAACTAATACATATGTTTTTACTTTGTTTTTCTTTTAAATTTGTTGTCTTAGTTGGTACCAATGTTAGAGAAAGAACAAAGACAAAATGGTGTTTTGACGATCATAGAAATTACAGTGTACACGCACAATATTATTATTAAATTTTATGTACACTGAATGCTGTCGCCACTGGATGTTTTGATATGCAATAGATATATTTATATCAATGCCCTAGCTAATATCGTAGGCTTGGTGTATTAAAAACAAAATTTTAAAATCGGATTCTATTGTATTAGGTATCATGTTCCATTTAGGCCTCTTTACTCATCGCCTTTGAATTAGTAGTGCACATCCCATATACTTCGGTGGGTTTGTTAAGTATGTTTGTTCAAATGTGATATTTGTAATTGTATGCTGCTCCCCGTGGGAGCGTTTATGCAATAAAATTTATCTTATTTTATCTTACACGTGTCTTGCTACTTGTGCACATGAGTGGGTTAGTGCCCTAGTAAAACCCTAGTAACTCAATTTGAAGTGGGTAAATGTTTATGTCTATAGATCGAATAACTCAACACTCAGCACTAACTGTTAACTAATTCAACACAAAGTTAACTCGAAACTAACTCAACTTTAGTCAACCGAAACTTGAAGCGGAGTAATGAACTAATTAAATTACGTATATTAGAATAGTTCTGGGCCTTTTTTTATCTGACAGAGTCCTTTTATTCATTGAAATGTCACATCAAATAACTTGATTCGGGTCAAAACTATAAATTCAACGGGGGATAAATCGCGACTTTAATTATACTTGAGTCTAACTGATATTCCTTAACGTTCGAAACATTATTCCAGTTTTGTTGCGTATTTCATTACAGGCATGTGGAAAAGGGGGAAACATATATCACAGGAATCCGTGATGTCTGTGTAAGTAAAAACGATTTATAGCAACGCTATTGATTCCTTTGAAAATAGATTGTCTAAAAGTTTCATCTTTAAAAATCGAAAAGGATGGCTACATTTGCTAATTTAAGGTATTCCGTTGTTTAACCGTTTTGGCGACTCGGTAATGACATCGATCATTTAGCACTATAACTTTATGTCAGTATGTTGCAAGTATGTACACATGACAATCAAGGCACCGGGGTATAGTGTAGAATCAACTGACGCTATGGACCGAAAGTTTATATTTCTGTGAAAAAGTATCACATATCTTCAGATAGTTATTTATGGCTAGTCTTCCATGTAAAGTTAAACCATGTGGGTCATTAAAATATATTTAATTGATGTAAATCGATTTTTTTTAAAAAAGATCACAGGTTATCAGGCAACAACACATACGCTCGACAGTCGCCACGTCATTTGAGTCATCGTTATTGGCTAAACAACTCGTGCAAATTGCAAAATGGTTAGATCATAATTGAAGCATCTAACGAGGTGCTCACGAGATTTCGTAACAAAGAAATACAACTCGATAATCGTTTAACATTAATAGGTTCTTTCCTTTCAATAAGATATACAACCAATATAAATTTTAGAAAGGTAGGTTAACAATTGCAACCTATAAATTAAGAGAAGAATTAGGCAAAACAATCGTGATGATTATTGAAAAACGTTGAAAATTAGCAGGCTTCTTTATTTTAATGATATATACGACCAATTTCAATTTAAGAAATACATATAGATATATCGTGCTAACAAGAAACATGAACGAGGAACAGGGGGGGCAGACAGGTATAGTTGATTGCAAAATACTATAACATTAAGATTTAATATGTAAGAGCTAAATCTGCCTAAGTGTTATATAATTCATTAATTAGACATTTATTCACATGCCAATCCCAAAATCATCTCTCCAGTGTCAGCTCTTTAACTAAATCATACAAAATGCATTTTTATTACGAGTATACAATGCTTCTCCAGGCCCTAAAAATACATGATCAAAGAAAATTCAAAATATATTCTGAGCCCTACCTCAATATCACGTGATTTGGGTGACGACGACCTCTGTGGTGAGGAAAATGATAGACGCCTGTCCATATCAGCAACATAATTAGACGGCATAGCAGTCATTGATAGACTACTTCCAACATGTTTCAAGATTCGAGACTGTTTCCGCCGTTTTTTCAAAATTAACCAGACCGTTACGAGTAGTAATAATATAGCTAGTGCACAACTAACAGCTGCGGCTACTGCTGTACGACATGACGCATCGCAACTTTCACTGCTACCTTTATCTTTGGGTTCAACTGGAAAAAAGCAAAACAAACATACTAACAAATACATTCCCACTTTAAACATGGCAGCAGAAGCATGTTAATTCATGTATTGTTCCCCGAAAATATTTAAATTGCGCCCACATCCCTGAATTAAAATTGACCGAATGAGTTAATCCAACTGAAAACAAAACAATTTTGACTGCAGTATTACTAAATCAGTTATTTGCCATGTATTGCAAGTAAATTAAATTGGTTTGGTCACTTTCATAAACCGATTTATTACTATTCTCGAACATTAATAAAAACTATAACTTTGTCTACGTTGTTTGAAACCCAAACCGATTCCCTTCAGATAAATGCAATTTCTGTTATCCCCCTGCTAATAGTCTCTTCAACCTACCGTTTCTCATAACGGTTGCTTGTTTTGATGTTGATGATGCAGGCTTGTTAGCTGGTTTGTGTTTAACCTCCGTTTGGAAATCTGATGTTAAATTAGGGTTTATATGCGATGGTCTTTCTAATCCACACGAACACTGTACATTGCCATCCTCTCCATCACACCAACACGGACTCTTAGCTAAACCAATACCACGTCTTGAATCCGTCTTGAGAAATCCTTCACCCATAGGCCGTTCTGAAACGGGGAGTAATTTTGGTCAATATTAATTATTTTAACATAGATCTCTATGGCAAATATTCAGTAGTGTTTCTATGAATCTCTTACAGAGAAGTGACCCGTTGGTTCATTAAAACATTTATGAGACTACTTCCCAATTTATATATGAATAAGCGTTAAATCTATATAATCTGCAGCTTCTTCAGTACCATTAATTATAATTCTAGCAAGACTAGATTCCTGAAGCTAGTTGTTATCGAAAAAGACAAATGAATATCTATTGTAATCAAATTAAAAGGAGAAGTCCGGCCGTAGAAAATTAAATTTATTATAATTACTAGTGTCTAGTATTAAATTAGATTCAACCTTGTATAACCCAAAGTACAAAGCATTTCACCCTTAAATTAACGGCCGACGTCAATTGCAAACTATATCAAGGACTATGAATAAACAAGGAGGGTTGGGTGACCGAATGGTTAACGCGTGTGCGTTGCTACAATCTCTGTCATTAAGTTAAATGGCGTGGTTCGATTCTCCGCTTGTTCGTGACAAGGAATAGGGTCGCCTTTCCAGCCTCGTGGGTTTTCTCCAGCCCCCCCCCCCTCCACTGCTAAAGAACCCTAAGCGCAAGAGAGTTAATGAAACAAAATTGAACAATTTAGGCCCGAAATGACGTTAAATCACATTTCTCTCTCTAAATATACGCTGTTGAAAGATTAGGTACCGTGAGCAACGGTCTCTCGGTAAATATAACGCTGGCGCACTAACCAGGAGGTTCATGTTCGATCATGATATTGGACTAGACGGTGGGGACGCAGGGGGGGGGGTCAATGAACATAGTCTAGTCCTTCGATTGTGACAAAAACCCGAGTTCCTGCAAAGAACATGTTGTCGTTCAAGTTAAAGAATCTTTGACAGTTGCAATTCTCTGAAGAGTATATGATCTATTCCTTAGCCAGGTTGGTGTAGAAATGTAAGGCATAAAACCCCATTTCACTTTATTTCGCAACCACACTCTTTGAACACTCTAAGCGCATTTGATGTGGGTGAATATCTAAAAAAAAGTCGTTCGACCCAAGACCATAATTGTACGTACGCGGCTTTGTTTACTTCGGGTTGAGCATTTGGAAAGCAGTTTTAATAATAGATATTAAGACTTTCATCTGATTTTTTTTTCTTACTTTTAACACAATCTTGAGGACAAATCAGTTGATTTAGTTCTTCTAGATCATCACAAACTCCGTCAGGGCAGGTCTTAGTGTTGGGTCTACACGTGGCATACTTTCGGGACAAATTGTCTTCCCCTTCTCTCCAATGACATTTGGAAGCAGGTGCTCCATATCCGCATCTTGATTTGCACGTTTCTTTGTTCTGTGATTCTGAACATCCATTATCTGAAAAGGAAAACAAAAGTTAGCCACACTAAGCTTGGAAATACGCCAACATAGCAGCAATGTCTCGACAGCAACTTATTCGAAAGGAAAACTTAGATATTGATTAAATTTTATAAATCGACAAAGGGGAGTAACTCTGGAACTGAAAGTCGCAGAATGCTGAATATCGATAGGGTTCGTCCCCTCTTGATCCCAATGCTTTCCACCAAATTTGAAAAGAATCCATTAAAAAAGGCTTTCGGTAAAGAGGATAACTCTAGAACAGAAAGTCGTGGAACGTAGAATATCGACATGGTTCGTCCTCTTATGATCGCAATGCTTTACAGGAAATTTGAACACTGTAGCCTCTATCGCGTCCAAAAGGTTCTCGGCAAAGGGATGGAAAGTCGTAGAACTCTGAATATCGACATGGTTCGTCCTCCCATGACCCCAATGGTTCACAACTAAATTTAGAAACTGTAGAATATATCGTGTTCACACGTTTTTCGACAAAGGGGGATAATTATTGAACGAAATGTGCGGAATGCTAAAACCCAATAGTTTTCCCACGAAGAGTAGGTTTCCATTAGTTTTACAATATTAGTTAGATAATATACAGTTATTGCAATATAATGTTTTATAAAACATTTCCCTTACCGCACGTTGAATAACCGGATTTAACTCCATCAATTTTTATCGTTACCACTGTTGCATCTTCCCCAGACCTCGAAACGTTAAGATCAACAGTGCTTCCTACAAATCCAACAAGCTTAGTTGTGTTTTTGACATATATGATACCAGTACGAGTTATACCCAGCATATGATCTGAGCCCAATAAACTGTACTCCACAGCTTCAGACATGATTCTATTGCTAGCTGATGATAATACTAGCACCTATTGTATAAAAACATGTGCATATTAATCAAGAGTTATTGAATACAAACACATTTAATGCATTTCTTAAATATTGAGAATAACATATAACGAATTTCTGGATGTACGAATGATTTAATAAAATAAATTAAGTTGGACACAATTGAATATTCAGGGGTTAGGTTACCGGAAGTGAATCATATCAATGACACCATGATTGCTATTTTCATTGCCGAAACTAGATAAGTTCGAAATTGTATTAGATTCATGTTTTGTTGATCACTCAAATGTAAATCCACGAATGTAAAAACGTAAACGCAAATGTTTAAATCATTTCTGAAATTGTTAAGTGTATATGTATAATTGTCGTTTGCATTTGTTAAGAGTTGAATATTTGTTACCAATGTAGCAATATTCTTTCAAAATGGACTTCAATACGAACTGCAATATGGATTTCATTATGAACTTCACTACGGGCTACAATATGATTCCACGATGTGTGGTTTTAAATACGCAATAAAGTGACACTGTGTGTGGATGACACCACACTGAGACGAGGTCGAAGTTATGAATTTGATATCTGAACTTCTGAAGTGTTAAATTCTATCACACTTTAAGAATCTCACTTCAAATCTTCAATAAAATTAAGAAGGCAGAAATGATATTGAAATGAGGATGAAGCCATATCAAATATGCAAATTAGGCTTCCACGAAGTGTACACTTCACGAACACCTCAATTACCTCACTTCAGCCGAGAAATGTTGGATTTAATTCAATGATGTCCCCAACACTCACGCTGTCGATCTCCATTTCCGCAAATTGCGATAAAAGGATAATTTTCCTTTTTTATAGCCGCAATGACAAGTTTAGATTTCCAGTCCGTTACAGTCTATTGCGCTTGGTTGAGTTAGTTATCAATCAATAAGGTATCAATAATAGGGCTATCTTTTGTCTATTAATTAATCTTTATGTATTTACGGTAAGAGTTGTAATAAACCAATTAAGAGACAAAAGATTTAATTATTTGTCTTCAAATACGAATCGGTTGCTTTATTGATGGTTTCTATATATAAACAAAATGGCGGACACAATATGAACAATACTCGTTCGATTTGTTTATGCCTCCTGTATGATCTTTTTCTTACTGCAATTGCTGGTACCGCTAATAAATGAAGCCAGATTTGTTGTTACAGTTTATAAATGCATATATATTCTTGGTGTTTTCGAAATTCAGTTATTATTAAATCATATCATTAAATAGGTCGTAAGCGAAAAATTAATTGAAGAGTGTCAGATTATTTTAGTATGCCGCCACCAAAATGCTCCAAGACTCCAGATGATACCCTCGTCCACCTGATGGTGTTATATTCTTGGATGTTGAAGTGACATAAAACTTACCTGTGTATACTTGGCAGCATTTCTAGAAAGTTGAGTCTGAAACGGGGGTGTATTTGCGGCGGGAGCCACCTCCCCGACTTCATCTAAAATGAATCGAAGTATCGCCTGAAAAAACAACATAAGAAATTAAAATTAGTTATTACAGTTGCTTGTAACCCGTCGGTGCAGAAAAGTATTACGTTAAAGATACATTAGTTAAGATTTTAATAAAGAATTAGTCATTCTTGATATAAAAGTTTAAAAATAGATGATAAAAAAGAAAATATTGAAAATTTCAGTCAAATTATTTTATTCCGAACATAATTATCACTGTTGGAAGTTTGGACTAGAAATAGGCATCAACTGTCTCTACACCGTCTCCGACAATTGCCGATCCTTTGATTGGTAGACGATAACTCCGCCCACATATTCTCGATTATCAAGAAACATTTTCAATGCCTATGGCACCCTCGATTGTCAGTCCTTTCATCGGCAGTCTCCGGTAGTGACGTCAGCGATTAACGGTAAATGTTAGCTTGGCCTGCCATTTAATCCAAGCTGTATCCAAGCCACCCGAGGGTCTACCGAGTTGATTTTAAGTCCTGTTATGTAAATAAAGGTCTAATTAATAATTTCTATAACATCTGAACCCTATAGACAGACTTGCAATATTCGGGGATACCTCACTTTCCCCACATCTGTTGTTTAGAGTCTGTGTCCATCAGGCCATGACTAATTAATCAACAAAGGGGGTTTAAAGTATAGTCTATAACAAGTTTGTGGCACTTCAACAAAATGATTTAAATAATATTAGTGAAAAAGATTACATGTAAAAAAAAATATAATATAGATTCTTTTATTATACCATAAACAGAATGTTAATAATATACAAATTAATACATATATAAATTCTGACCACCTTTAGTATTAGCAATGTGATTCAGAGGAGCCTTATAGATCAACTGATAAGCTGTGAAAAAATATCAGTATTTTATTTATTTTTATTTCAAATTAATTATAACATCAAAACTGCTCACAATGTAAATTTATTAGTAAACTGATTTCACCAATTTGCCCAATCTACTGATATTTGGAAGTGTTCACCAGTAACAATAATTAGAGTGAGAAGTTTACACCAGTGATACTAATTAATTAGAACAGACTATAGTCCTACACCGACAGTCTAGTAACCTCCTAATCCTTTATCAAAACAATCAAATGTGGGGAAAGTGAGATTAAACCCAATAGGCATACTTAGCTCTTAACTGTATCGTTAAACCCCATCTGATTGCTTTTATTGCCCCCCGCCTTTCGAAGAAACAACTCTGCTTTTAATTGAGGTAGAAGGTTTAAACCTGATGTTGATGTTCGTTAGGTTGATTCTATCTGATAGAGAGTGACGAAACTTAGTGTATAATTGATAATCAGTTTGATTGCTCGATACTTTTGAAAAAGATAAACGTGCAATGAATTAATATGTGTGATCTATTTATTTCGAGATTTCGGCGGGGGGCATCCGCCTCGCGGTTGGCTTGTTATACTTGTTATATACGTCAATTTATTAGTATTTCTTGTGTTTTATATCTGCGCAAATTTTATATTGTTGGGAACCGCTTTAAAGCTAAAAAGAAAACTACAGATGTATGTATGTCATCACGAAAATGCACTCCCGATATCGCGTTAACACTCTTTGAAATATTGCATTGATAAATAAACCCATTTGGATCGAAGTCTCACGAACTATTGAGCGCAATTGTCCCCGAAGGCAATATTATCAAAATTGTTACACTATTTAAATGAGATGATATTTATAATGATAGATCGATAGTAATATGTTTCTCTCATAGACATACACAGATAAATGTTAACAAAAACAAGTAAACTCAAGAAGAACAAAACGACAGGAAAAGAAATACAAAAGACGAATACGGAAAATAGTTTTTGCTATTAAGACTAAAAATGTGAAAATGCGGTTCAATTTATTTGTGAAATGAATTTCTTATTTCGTATAGCTACCAAGATAATTAATGGTATTGTTTCCATTTTCAAGACTGAATACTTAAATATAGGACAATTCCATTAGACTGATGCAGTTAAGAAACAACGAAAAACAATCTGATATTCAAAGATATACAAAATAGACAGCAAAAACCTCTTGAGGAAAACAGTTTACGTAATGAAACTGTGTTTAAATATTATTTTTTTTAAAGAATTGAATAACCTTTTCTTTACACCAGAGTGTTTTTTGAAATTGTTGAGTAACATTTATACCACTTTGTCACGAACATTTAAGTACCAAATTGTTTTTTTAAAAAATAAGGCACGATTTTATAAAGGTAACAGTTAGTGTTTTGAAAATGCCAAATGTAAATTGGCAACATTTCTGTTGAAATTGGACTTAAATTTTACTTTAGATATATATTAGTGTGTTTAAACTTCCATATATAAATTGGCAAAATTTCTATTTAAATTGGACTTAAATTTTATTTCAGATATATATTCTGGAACGTCACCAGATACATGTATGGAATGCGACTTCTGGCAATATTTTTATTAGTTAACACAGCCACATAAGAGCTGTGGTATTCTAGCTATACTGTGATATGGCTTTTGCGTTTTAAGTTGTTTGATAAAAAGAGAAGTCTGCGAGCCTTTTAAATAGTTGAGAGCGTCCTTTAATTATCTGTATGAAGTATATAAAGTCTGCCATTGTAGGCCTATGTAATTATCCAACTGTCTAAACGCATCCTAACAACAGTACAAGATAAAAGACATAATAGACAGTCTTAACCTAACAATAAATTATATTAATTACATACTCCTTTAAAGTACAAAATCATGGCTGAAATGTCGTTCATGTCAACAAGAATTTAAGAACGAAGAATAATACAGTAAAAACGGCAATCTGATAAAGATGTGGTGTAGGGAACGGATTAGCTTATGTTTTGTTTTGGTGTGATTTCGAACTCTGATCTTTTGTTCATAGGGCACTATTTTAATAATTGAGGGAGCCGAGTGAGTGTGTTGCTGGCTCACTAGCAGGGAGACCCCGGTCTTGGCTGAGGACGTTTCCTGTCAGTTGGAAGCCCTGACAAATGAAACTACCAGGTCGTGCGGACAGGACGGTCAATCGAGGTCCACCTGTGTAGTCGTTGGTAAAAAATGAAATGAAATGAAATGGGGTTTAACGTCCTACTGCCCCTATACTGGGCTAATGAAGACGGGCATATGCCATACAGTGTGCTATGAGGGAAATTTTGCCCGGGCAGGGGCACTATCGCCTACTCTTATATCAAATTCCAGCTGCCAGGGGATCTTTTACGCACATTCCAATATATACACGGGACCTCGGTTTTTCGTCTCATCCGAAGGACTAGACAGCTATCCTTGTCAGGCCCCCCATCCTGCGGTCGTTGGTAAAAGAACCCTTGACAACTAGAATTCGATAAAGAGTATGCTCAAAGGTGTATGCCTGTTTTCATTAGCCTGACTGTTTCAGAAAACTAGGACGTTAACACCATTTCATTTCATTTTGTAATTGAATGTAATAATGTTTTAACTATAAAAGGACAGAAAATTAAAATGTTTTAACTATAAAAATACAGACCAGCGGCTGCCAGGCAAGATGCATCCACTTTTTGCAAGAGATGGATAGAGAACAAGCTAAAAAAAAGCGATTTTTCGTACAATCAGGGGTCGTAATCCAGGAAGTTATAGTCTGAAATGCGCGAATATCGAAATGGATTGAGATATTTGGCGTATAAAGATATATTTTAAGTTTCATCAAAATTGAGATTGTGTCTTTTAGCGGGTCCACATACTCATCGCAGTATTTCGTTTGATTAGACCTAATCCCACTTAACACTGCTGTAATGGAAGCAAATTTTTGTTCCAAATTATGACTGGTCAATAGTCCGATTAACAACCAATAACTAACTGCGTACTAATATCATTCGACTTTAAACAGAGCTCCAAATGGGACCAAATATGTTTACATAACGTTACGTCTATACTCGCGAAATTTATAACGCCCAATAGCAGAATATTGCAGAAAAGCTAATTGCGCGAGAAACGAGGCTATCAAACAGCTACAATGTAAACGATACTGTTAGGAGACGAACAATACTTTCACCGTTTTTAATACCTGAATTAAATGTCCAAAGTTTTAGGGAAGACCGCAGATTAAACGAAGGGCTGTCGTGTTGCTGTACTTGGAATAGATTTGATTGAACGCGAAGAATAGACAGACTCCCTCAAAAGCTCAAGTATCAGAGGCCGATCCAGCAATGGCCAGAAAGGGATTTCCCGGGCTATTGCTTCAGGAATATGGAGGGTCCACAAACTTGATATACCATATATTTGCGTACGAGGGGCGGCCACTTTGTCCGGTAGTTTTGGTCCGATTTTCACGAAATTCGAAGTCAACCATCATTACAGTGTAACGTTGATACATTCAAACGTTTTTTTTTTAATCGGATAAAAATTGTCACCTATAGAGGGACCACAAACTAAAAACACGATTTTTCGTACAATCAAGGACCATAATTCAAGAAGTTACGATTCGATATACGTAAATATCGAAATGAACCAATATCTTTGGGTTATAAAAATGCAATTGAAGTTTCATCAAAATCAGATGAAAATTCTGACATCTAGAGTACCCACAAGCTAAAAACGTGATTTTTCGTATAATCAGTGGCCATAATCTGTACATGCCAATATTGAAAAGAACCGAGATCTTTTGGAGATGAACCTATATTTCTAGTTTCGTCAAAATCTGATAAGAATTGTGACCTGTAGAGTGTCCACAAACAAATTGTGGACGGACGCACGGATAGGGCCGACGACAATATACGCACACTCTCATACGGACTTCTCTTCTATCAGACAATTTAAACGCAAAAGCCATATCACAGTGTAGCTAGTGGCCCACGCCCCTAATCTGGATCCGTTAGTAGTCTGATATTGGCTGTTTGGGCTGATGGAATAATATATACTCTTCAAAGGAAGTAGGGGATATTGGAATGTAAATACCTATGCAGGTTGTGATATGATAAATAGTCATGGACACTTGACATGCTTTGAGAGTATGTTCGCAGATGAAGAACTTATCGCCCCAACAGAACCACTGAGCTGCACATGCGACACACAATGGCGCCATACACGTGGGAGGGGTTCATTGTCAAATTTGACACTTCAAGGAAGCGTAGATGAAAACTGCCGCGTGCTGGTTTATCTATCCATGTTAGCATTCCTATCGGTTCTTGCATAAGATTTACTGTTTAGCGTATGTTTGCTTTGGTGTGTTACTTTCATTTCCATCGGGAGACGTGTTCGTCGACGTCAACGTCAACCGACAACAAGAATTGGCCGTGGCACTGCAAGGGGATTGGGTCAGATTGCCCCAAATCGTGATTGGAGGGTTGATTAGGAGCATGTCACGTCGAATTGCTGAATGTCCGAGGATTGGTGGAGCAATTACCCGTTATTAAGACAAAAATCAAAAACGTACATTTTCACTTTTGACGGTGTATCTGTTTGCCGCCCATATGAACTGTTTATGTTCATGTGTAGGCAATTGGCCTGTTATTAACATGCGCTGGTTACCTCTAATAAAAACAGCAGTGCATTTCCGCAGTTTTGTATTGTTTCTGAATATCCCCGGAAGTCCAATTTAAAATGGGAGTTTCAAGACACGAACTGTATACCCTAATAAAATCGTGCCTTATTTCTAACCCCGTCTTCATTAGCCCAGTTCAGAGCAGAACAGTAGGACGTTAAACCATATTTCATTTCATTTTACTTGTTTCAAACCCCACAATTGGGAACTTAAATGTTCGTGACAAAGTGATTTACAACAATTTCAAAAAATACTTTGACATAAAGAAAATGTGTATTCATTTCTTAGGAAAATGATATTGAAATACAATTTTGCGCAAGAAGTTTTTGCGGTTGAAAGTTCAGCGGAAAAGCTTCATAATTTCTTTAAATAATGCAAGGAATGTATGTCAACATATCCTTTCCATAAGTGTGACACGATCCCAAATGTCAATGTTACCTGCTACAGTTAAATTTCAACATGTAGATTTCCGCTGCTGTAACTTTCCGCGCTTTTTTTTATTTTTTTTATATTTTAACTAATTTGATTTCTTCGTTAAAGATACCTTTCCGCATACAAACTGTGTGATTTGGTGCTATATTTGGACTTAAAAAATATTCAAACTAATTAGCTTCAAATCACTCTCAAAACTTGTTGGTTGTTGGTTCTTGTAATTTAAAGGAGATAAATCGCTAATATTTTTTACCTAGAAATTGGCACAAATGAGTCGCAACACACATAATAATGTAATATGAATTTATATAAACTGTTTTACATTCAATCGTGTCCGTTTTACTGTGAATTGTAATCAGTTATGTTCGGCGAAATACGCCAGAAGTCTCAACCGCAAGTCAGTTTCTAGCGTCTGGTTATTCCAGTCAACACCGATATTATTTATTGCGCATGCTCTCAAAATAAGAATATGATATCACCGTTTGACATGACTTGTGTAATATGTTTAACCTCATTCTTTGAGCACCTTGTTACAAATGGCGCTGAAACGCATTATGGTACACGATTCGTGTACCAATGGTAAAATGTTTATTTTGTCTTAAATATTGGATATCAGAAGCCCATCTTTTCCAGGTAAGATCACAACACCAATGCTAATTTAAATTGCAAAAAAATTCGTGTTTTCAATGTCCAAGATTTCGGATGATATTGAGTTACGGACTTAGCTACTTTAAGTGAACTATATTCATTTTATTAATTAGTGAGTGAGTTGAATTCTGATAAAAATCAATTTAAGCGAACTATATTAATAATGACTGGTCCCTGCCTCATAAACGCTTTTAATCCGTTTTTAACCCATCAAATAGTGCCGCGGTCGACTTTCCAAATTCTGGTGAGTCGCCGATATGGGAAGACCCCCTCTGTAGACCTACGGATGGCTTGGATTCGGCTTGGATTTAAACAGGATTTCATTGATTGATTAAATTTTCAAATGGTGTCGTAAGCGGCGATTAACCGTTACGTTGACGTCATACTCCCGGAAATTTTAGATCGAGGCTAAATGATAGAGTGTACGAAGCGAGGCCGCCGTTGAGCGAGGCCGCGTGTCAGTCAATTTGATTGAAAGTTCGATATATACGGCCTTGATATTATGTTTAGTTGTGGTTAAAATGAGAGTTTGGATGTCGGTATTATACGCTCTTTTGTCACTTGTTTTACAGAAAAATTATGGAAATTGATAAACATCGCAGTTAACATCACCTCCAGTTACAGTACAAGAGTACTCAGGCTAACAATAAGTCGGCTATAATTATGCCTCAATGATTTGGTCCGTTCCTTTCAAAGTTTCGCTTCTTATATTAAAAGTCTTATTTTTGATTTGTAGTAAAAATAAATGTGATACGAATTGAATTGCAACCCCGTCTCAAACCGCATATGCTTAACGGTACCACAGCCATTGAAAACGTTACTTGATAAACGAGATTATGTAGGTGGAGTTAACGCCTGTCAATCAAACGATCGGCCATTCTCGGAGACGGTGAAGAGAGAGTTGACTCCTATTTCTAGTCAAAAATTACAATGGTGATAACTTTGTTCGGAATAAAGTAATTTGAACGACAATTTTCAATACTCTTCTTTCATCATCTATTTTTGAACTGTTATAGCAAGAATGGCCAACTCTCTATTAAAATCTCCCATAATGTATCTTAAGCTACAAATAAACTATTGTAAGACGCCATGTCTGCCACCTCACTTTGTTAAGCAGGGTTTATTTTTTTATTTTTCATTACTTACCGTCCATTTACAATACATATTGAGGCCTAAGTAAATTCTTAATTATTTTCTGTCTACTTCCTTTTGCACGTTGACACCCCTCAATGTTCCCCAAACCGCCTAACCATTTGCTCAAGAAAAAAAAACAAACACCACTCAGTCAAGGTAGCACACAATAATCTGGCAAACAACAGTCGGTTTGCCAGTTAGTAATACCTTGACATTTTTAACAAGTGCGTGTCCCATGGGTGTTTTAAGGGAAATCCAGTATTTGCCAAATTTGCCATACCTTTATTTGAAATAACCACCCGATAAATAATTTCGGGACAATGTACCTTTAAATTCGATAGATTTTTACAGATAAACAACATGCATCATTTAATCCATTTTGGACTATCCTGTATTTGCATGAAAAACCGTAATGACTATCAGTGGAATATTACTGTGCAACAACATGTTTAATATGTTCTCGTTAAATCTGATACGCAATATTTTCCAATTTATGTACAACAATATTGTTAAAAGTATTAACTAGAAAATAAACTTAAATAAATACAGAAAAGATAACAAATTGCAAAATAAAAATCGTTTAATATCAATTCACCATTAGGCCTACATTATATAATAACGGGAAAACTAGAATACTGCGACGAGATATTAAAAGATTTCCGAATCTGAATACCGTACCCAAGAAATTAAAAAAAAACCTTAAAATATTTTTTATAAAATGGGATGGGATTGGATTGTGAATACCCAGGTAATTTTGAAATTATTCGCTTTAAACCCGTCTGTCTACTAAAGTTCTCCGGCTGATTAACGGGCCTGGATTATCGATAATGAACTGGGGTTTAACGTCTCAGTTTTCTGCATCAGCCGGACTAATGAAGACCTGTGTACGTCATACAGTTTGCTATGTTGGATATGTTGCCCGGACAGCGGGGTTTCCACACACCCTTGATCGAATTCTAACTGCTAATGGTTCTTTTACGCGCACGACAACGTGAACACGGGCCTTGAGTTTTCGTCTCACTAGAGACTATTTTTCCTCCATGTCTTCACATTTAGAGAAGTCGGGGTGTGGAGTGGCTGAAATAGACCACCCCACTATTGAAACTGGGGTCAATTAAACAGAATAAATGTCTTACCGTATTAGAATATTTTGAATCCCTTCTCTTATATTTAGTATCTGTTATATGAACATCAAATGATGAAAATGGTGATAATGATGACAACGATTCCCCTTTCTTGACTTGCAGTTCTTCAAAATATAAAATGGTTCATTTACATTTAAAAAAATACAAGTAGTTTACGGTTGTAGTGGCCAAGAATTTAATTCAAATTGAATTTCAAAATCATCCCTTCAAATATCATAGTGTGTTTATGCCCCCGTCAGACCGCGGTGGCGTCCTTACTGAGCTGCTGCGACCGTACGGCGACCAGAAAATGCACAAGGTCGACGGCAAACGTGAACACAACACGAGAAAATGTTCAAAAAATTACAAACTTGAAAAAAGTCGCATCCTTATAGCTTTCCACTTCAGATCGCAGAACCTTGGCGTTTGTTGTGAACATGCTCAAAACAAACGCCGTGACTCGGCGATCATTGGCGACCATGGAGTCCACAGCACGTTAGCTGGCGTTTCTACCACGCTTATGGCGATCTTGACGCGTTCTAAAACTGATTTCCATCCCTGTAGCAGCGCAGTAAGGACGCCACCCCGCTCTGACGGGGTATTACCGACATCGAATTTTGTTTTACCTCTGGAAGTAAAACTTAATCCGCCTTCCCTAATAACGAAGATCTCGCTACGCCCTTACTAAGTGTCACGCGTTATCGCTGCGTTCTTACCAAGCCCCCACCCCCACCGCCAGCACGACGCTCAGCCACGTCCCTACCTCGATAAATGCGCTGTCACAACGACCTTTATACATCGATTATATAGCAGAAGTACTGAGCCTCGTCCATCAAGAAAGGTAAAACAGAAAAAAAAACAAAAAAAAACCCCCGTAAAAAACCTCCACACTTGAACACAAATTCGTTATTATCTAAAACATCCATCAGGTCTTGCGAGCGTAGTAACCGACTGATGGGGTCATGTTAGGAATGTAGAGAGCGGAAGAGGTCACGACTTCACCACGCGGGTTTGGAACATGCAACATACCGGAGTAGCGAGGTCGTGTTGGGAAAGCGTGGCGAGAGCGGGAACAGCAAAGTTCTATAGAATGTTTGTCCGTGGTAATCGCGCATTGAGGACTTTTTTATGTGTGAAGGGGGCTTTACGAAAACGTAGGAGCGTAGTGAGGGCGTAGCGCGGTCTGATTAGCCACAGAAGGGACACGACCATGGACGTTCTCCCCGCTCTCGGTACGCTGCAACTACGCAGTTTCCGCTTTCTTTTCCACCACGACTTCCGTGTAGTGAGGTCGTGGTCTATCACGCTCTCCACATTCCTACCATATCCCCACCACGCCATAACTACCCTGACAAACGTCTTGCCACGATTTGAATGAAGTTTAAAGTTCTCCGATTTGCAAACAAAAGATCATCAGTATAAAAGAAACCGTCTAATCACTGAGATGTTTTGGTAATGTAAACAAGATACACTTCATCAACTTCCATCCAGTTCAAATTAGGTTATTGGATTAGATTTCCGACTTTTTGATGAAATGTCGCCAGTGTAATCATTGGTAAATTCACAGAATACAGGGAAAACATTAAAACTATTACCTAAAAAGAATGTTGAAACTTTAGGTTTGTCACACTTTTTACTTTCAACACATCTGGTAAAACTCAAGAACCTCTCCACTTTAACAACTTGGTCAGCACCTTTAGTGAAGCTGATGTTATAGGTATCTTTATCTACACCAACGATATCTAGGTCCAAGAAGGGCGGGAGCTTCTTGGTTAATTCCCCCTAAAAAGACACAATATAAAAAACATGTCAAGTTATACAGTCATTATTTTTTTCCCTGTAGTATTGGAGACTTGTTCTCAGTGTACACGTAGAACTCACTAGACGGTATGATTGTTTTACAAAGAGTGCAATGCAAAAGTATGAGTATGTAATTGTCCCCTGTGTTATGACGTACTACAAAGTGCGGATTATGTTTTAGAGGATTTTGTAACTAGACAGAGCAACAAACTACAGCACATGAGCCTAGGAATATATAAGTAATTGGTTCGTCTTAAAATATTATGTTACTTTACCGGAACATTACATCGACATGTAAAGGCTTCATTTACATCACCATACACACAATAATACCGTTTAGTAATAAAACACTTCGCCGTTTTATAAACGTAAACAGTTTTTAGGTAACAAGCTTCCTTCCCAAAATTTTCAAACGTCATAGACCTTATTCTAATATCAATGAGTAATGTGTTATTTTAAAATACAAATTTTTAAATATTTAATTTAAACAACTACTGAATAAGATTAATTCATTAGAATACAAATGAGGTGTCGTTTACGTGATTTAGTAATATTAAAAAATAAATCATTCATGAACTTTTTAAATGCAAGCAACATTTCCTGTATGGCGGTAAAATGAAATGAAATGAGATTTAACGTCCTACTGTTCTGCTCCGAACTGGGCTAATGAAGACGAGTATGGAGGTAAAACGACACAGAAAGGTAAAGAATGATGTGGTATATACATTTTGACTTATACTGTCACGATCATCGATACATCAGGCGATATATCGTAATATTATAGACCATTGACCTTCATTTGCAAGAACCGTCACTTCTTTTAATATCAGCATCATAGTTTACAAAATTTGTTGTAGTGTATAGATTCAGGCATCTGTGTCAGGTTTTGTGATTTCCTATGTTGTGTTGTTTACCCTGTAGCTGCGCAGTGCAGAAGGGTATATTTGCTTCATATTTTCGAAAGTTGCAAATTTCAAAGTCATTATTTTTTTATTTTCATCCATTTTTTTTAATGTTCAGTATCATCTCAAACAAAATACAGGAACTAAAACTGTTGTGAATGTCTTTTTGAGACCCCCTCTCACCCATTTCAGGTGTTGTGACAATTCTTGTTACTTTACCTTGCCCTTAACAAACTCATTACACATCTAGAGCGAATTTCCTACACAAAAGTAATAAAACTTAAATCCACGTCAGTCAATCTGAATACATACTTCAATATAAGGAAAGTTCCCAGTGTACAATTAGTTCACAAGTTCTACTTTGAAGAAGCGGGTCATTATTTGTTTACATTAAACAATGGCGGATATTAGTCACTAACTTTGGTATTGTTTACAGCCTCACGAGTCCAGGTTTACCTGAAAGATCAAATAAATTGTCTTCACTCAAGCGTAATATCAGGTTTTTGAAATGCAATTCATTGTTACATTAATACCAAAATGTAAATACTGTAGTATTTCTAGTGTTCTATTTCTATATAAGGTCTTTCATCTGAGGTTGTCAAACAGTATACGACACGGTAATCTGAGGTGGCACAGGGCTATAGGGACAAGACACGCTACCGTATTGCTTAGCTCAATTAGTTCAATGGGAGAACTCTAGCTTTAATTCCGACAAGACACGCAATAACTTAATTATCTGGGAAATAAAGTTAAGTGTATCTAAATGAATGTTATTATTAAACACTATACGAAAACTTTCCATTAAAATGTGCCAGTTTACAAAATTCGTTCAGACGATAGGGGCAGCGGATGTTGGCGTCTACTCAACTTAATATATATATATATATATATATAAAAGAGAACGTTTGCCTGTATGTTTGTTTGCTATAAGAAACCAAACAGTTGAACCTATCAATTTTAAATTAACTTCGCAATAACTAGTTTTCTTACACAAAATTTAATGGCGCTATTTATTTTTTTATTTCGGTGCTGTATTAAATGATAAAAAAAACCCAAAACACACAAAAAAAACCAAGTGGTTAAATAATCGGTTCCATGTGTCTAAGGGAGAAAACTTTGTGATATTGGGTCGTGGGAGTTATCACAATAAACATAATATATGAAATTTAATGGTGCTATTCATTCTGCATTGGGTTATTTTATGGCAGACGAGCAAAACGTATGACACTTTACTGTCATATAATACCGTATTTAATGGTTAGCTAGTCTAGGATCGGTACCTTAATGCCTCATCTCTTATAATAAGCACGTGGACCTTTGCTTCGCGATCAAAACAATTTTTGCAATGAGAAGTTGGGAGAGGAATAAATATCGTTTATCGAGAGCAGCCCAACCGTACCAAGGACAGTAGCTGAATTTAAGATTTATTACTACCGTATTGCTATTACTTCTCAGAAAGTTGTGACTGTCTGGTTTTGTTTCTGGATGATTAGATAAAGTTTCTGCGTTAGGGATTGAGCTTTATACTGTATTTTTGGTCTAATACCGTGATGTATTACCACTGTCTGTACATAGCATTTGTATGTTTTTCAGACTTTTGAAGGCTATTGTCAGTCAATTGAAGGGGCGTTGTCACTTCTTTGAATTTAAACATTAGATAAAGAATTACTACTTAATATTGTTGGCCAAGTTAAAGGAGCTAAACCTTAAGTTGACCTGATGAATTATTTTGATGGACCAATTCTTATACGTGTTTATTTTTTGCATTATTGTGTCGACAGTGGAACACACAATACGTCAAGGATCATATACGTGAGGTTTGAATGAATGACTCAGATAATTAATATTTGACGTTTGTTTTGTACTCTGGTGACTCGCAGAATTTTGTGCACATCTCACACAAAACTAAACTAATCCAATCATTTCAACGGTTTATGAAAAGATTATACTAGGTCCCACTGTCTTAATGAAGCATATATAACGAAATGGAATATGTGCATTAATTCTATTGTTTCTATAGATGTCACTTTATTAAATGTTTTCATCGTTACGACTGGGTGGCAGCAGACAGGAAATTTTCCTTGGTCTCCTACTGTTGCCAATACAGCGACTCGACGTCTCTGACTTAGAAACATGCCTATAATCTCGATAGCTTATCAATCCAGATACAATTTTCTCACGACAATTGTCTTGGGAAGGATTATACGCGGTTCAACTGACATCAGGGAATATTATCGTAATGTGTGGGGGTGTATGCTAGTAAATAAAAGATTGCCAGAACGCATCCAAATTTTAAAAAATAGGTGAAGCTAACAAAGAACACAAGCGAGGATGGATGACATACCTTGCCATCATTAAACGTATAGAGGCTATTTAAAGAAGTAGTCTGAAATATGAATTTTAAAGACCATCGTTGGAAATTTACTGTTAAGTCCCATGTTAAACTGTCAACGACAGTGCCTTCATCAACCTCTCTGATACTGTTATCACCCTGGGTTGTGTGTGGGTGGAATGTCGTCGTGGTTCACAACTTGATACACTGATATTTGAATTTGTCTTGATGAATGGGGTAGCCCTCTGGGGTCGCTATTACTATATTTATTCGTACTGCCGTTCCCTGTTATTTTTTGACTTATAACCAGCGCGCATGCGAATTATGGAATTAAAATATGTAAATTTTCTTTGTTCCGAATTACCTAGTTTGTGTTCTGTAGACGTTCTCTAGAATATAGCTGCCTAGATTATTAGCCAGACCGGTCAATATTTGGGTCTATAATAATGTAGTTCAAATTTGAGTTTTGCGCAGTTAACCCGAAGGTGATCATTTAGCTACACTAATAACCACTTTTCTTCGCTCGTTCTATTAAATTGATGGCATGGTTATTCAGATGTTATATTAATAATGCGTGCTATAAACATCTATTTCATTGTTTTATTATCTAATCTGATCACTGTTTAACGTTTAAGAATTAATTATTCAACATGATGATCGTTGAAATCAACCTATATAAGATGTTACGTTCTCGCGAATCCATTGTCTGAAATGATGATTTTCTATAATGTTTAAAAATATATCTGGAATATGACTAACATTTAATTAAATTTACACCAAGATTAGAGTCACTTGGTTAAATATTACGCACCAATTAATTATGATTGTACATGAATTACAAACAACCGTCACTATTTGTTTACACTATCAAAGTATTAGAAGACTTAAATTTTATATTTTGAGTTCTAGATGAAAGATGATGACTAAAACACAAAATATGCGAAAATTTATCATAGAAATATAGGCAAGTTGTCCACTAGTATGCCGAACAGTAACAAAGTCATCTGTGCTAGCTATAATCATTGTCTTCAAATTCCAGATGGCAATTTTTTTAGACACTGTGAACTTTGTCCCAATCAAATGAGGAACGAAAGATAACTATGCAAAACTCGTTCCAAACTTACGATTTGAAGGTATTTATAGCATTTTACGACTCGATCAACAATTCAAAATATTTTATAAATGGGGGAAGAACTTTTGGTTTTCCCTTAGGCCCAAATGAACAATTCCACCTAGTTAGTCCTGTATCACGGTCACAAGCCCAAAGGCCAAAATATAACTTCCCAAAACGCGTTGGAAAATTTACTATCTGCAAATCGACAGGGTTCTTTCTTTTACCTTAATAAACAATCCCACTGAGCTTTGAAAAAAATAATATCGAGAATCCTGACCTATAATATGCTCACAAAATTTTATAAATTTTGTATTTTGATATATATGTCCCTGCGAATTTTGACGAAAGAAAAGCCACAAAGCATTCTGGCCTGAAGAGTGATTACAAAATGAGGACAAACGACGGTGACAAGATACGTCCATATTAAATATGGGCAGATAAAATTAGTTTATTCTATTCGACTACTTGACTGATTTAGAAATGGTCTATGTCCAGATTATGTTATTTTAAACACATGGACATGGTGCTGACTGTACGACATTCAATGTCTAAATCAAAGATGAAGCTTCCTTTAGAAGCTTGGAAAACGACAGGCAATTGCTTGTAGTGACAAGGGAAAGACATGTTTTATGTA